CTCTGGTCGCAGGAGGCCTCCAGCCCATAATATTCCCTTCCACCACCACCCCCCCCTTCCCGCCCCGCACCCCTTCCTCCCGCCTCCAGTTGGATCCGGGCCTCACCAGCCCATAATATTCCCCAGTCTCCTAAGGCTGTTCCAGCCCATAATACTCTCCCTGTCTCCTAAGGCCTCTCCATCCCATAATACTGCCAGACGCCTGACCTGTGGGCCAAACCCCAGCCCGTTCCACACATCGAGGCTGTGTCAGCGCTGCTGGTCTCCCTCCCTGTCCCTCCCTCCTCCCTCCTCGGCGCTTTCCCTCCCAGGCTCTCTCCCGCCCTCCTGCCCTAGGCCCCCCTCCCGGCCCCACCCTGTCTGGGCCCTTACTTCCCCTCCAGCCTCCTCTCTTGCCCTTTCTCCTTTGCTTGGTTCTTCATCCCATGCCCCCTCTCCTCTCCCTTTCAGGCACTTTTCTACCCACTCCTCTGTCTGTGGGATGGACATTAGGCCTAGTGGGGAGAGAGTGCCCCCAGAGGGCAACAGGCCAGTCACTGCCCCTGAAAACTGTCTACTTGACCTAGCACCATGGAAACTTGCCCAGCCTGCCTTGCTCACCCATCCCCTGGCCCTGGTTCTGATCGCTGGCAGAGCTCTGTCTGGGTGAGGATTCACCTTGAAGCCCATGCTATCTTCCAGAAACACTCCCCTTGGGCATCACAAACAGACTTTACCAGTAGCATCTCCTCCCCACACTCTTGTTGAAAAGAGAGCTTCCCCTTTTGGGATTTCTCTCAGATGCCTTTCCAAGGTGATATCTTTGACCTCACAGCAACCCAACAAGGTAGATACTATGATCCCCATTTCACAGAGGAGAAAACAGAGGTTCAGAGTGTTGAAGTAACTTGCTAAAGTCACATTGTCAAGAAGTGACAGAGCTGAAATTAGTACCCGCCCAGGTTGGTTCTGAGAGCCTTTGGGATTCCCCAAGGCCCGTGTGAGAAACTTCACTTTTCCGTGCTAAGGATATAGCATGGTGAGAACTACCCAGCCTCCCTCTGTCTCCAGGGTCTCCTGAAAGAATGAAGAAGGGAGGCCTGTGGTGTGAGATTTAAACCCCCCTCCCCATTTCCTCCATGGGACCCCAGGAGGCAACCCAGGGGGGATTTCCCTCAAGACGGTTCAGGGCTGAGAGAAGCATCCCTGCCCCTTTTGTGACCCCTTACTGTTGCCCTGGTTCTCCTGAATTTGTTCTATTTCAAGACCAATGATTGTTACTCTTCTCCAGGCTATTCTCACCATGGGGAGGGCCCATCCTACAGAGGAGGCCGACTTTGAGGAGAACCAGGGGTAGGTCTCCTCTTCAGCTTAGTTGGTGGACAAGCAGGAGGGCTGCCTTGGAGATGCTGGGTACCTCCCAGCTAAGGGAGGGGCATCATGGCCAACTGCACCCAGGCTGAGCCACCCTGCCTGGGTATGCCACCAGCTAGCTACTCCCTTCTAAGGCCTCGATGGGGTATGTTTCGGCGCTTGACACAACTGGAACCGTGAGTGAGCCCAGTTCTCTGTGCTGACATAGCTGCGTGGTGCTCTGAGCAGGAACCTGGGGCCGGTGGAGGGGGAAGGGGCAGGTGGGGGGGTAAGTGGGTTAGGAATATGGAGGAAGTAATGGAGCAGAGATGGTGCAGCAGATTCAGGGTGAGAGAAGTAGCTGGAGAGGGGGCCTGGGTGAGGAGGAGAAAGGAAACCAGGGAGGGTGGACGGGACAGAGCCAGGAGGAGAAGGTGGGAAGCCCCAGGAAGGGGAGACATGGTGGAATGTACTGCAAAGAATAGGAGTTTGGGAGCCAAATAGAAACCGTGCCTCTTCCTGGTTGTGTGACCTTCAGACCGCAGCTTCTCTAGGATGCTTCATCTGTAAAATGGGGATAATAATCGTCCCTAACTCAGAGGCTTATTATAATAACCAATCACTAAATAATATAATCAATAGTGGAGATCCTGACATAGGGAGTATTTCCAAAACTTGTTAATGTTCTTCTCCCTCCATCTAGGATGTTCTCGTTTTCCTCATTTGGATTTTCCTAAGCCACAAATGGGGTCACTCTAGGACGCGGGGTGAGGGCTCTGGATCCCCCCACAGCTCACGTCTGTCCTACTGTGCCCTCAGTCATTGGAGAATCCTGTGAAAATGGCAGTGGTTGGCTACAGGTGTTCTTAAACTTCCCCAGCCTATTACTTGTCAGCTTCTTCTGTTCATTCCCCCTCTGCCTGCCATATCTCCTGAATCTATTCCTGCCTCTCTATGCTCGTGATAGAAACTCTTTGGTTGTACTGAATGCGCCCCCAGAGCTTAAACCCCAGAGATTTCACATGGAGGTGACCCATTTCCATCCACCTCCAACAGGCCATGGTCACACCTCTCCCTGACAATTTTAACAGCAGCCTGACTAGTCTTCCTTTCCCCCTTAGACGCCCCGACTCACTTCCCTACCCCACACTGTATGTCAGAGTGAGGAAAACCTCACTCAAGAACCTTTAGGGGCTTCCCACTGCCCATGAAATTAACTGCCAACACCTTACTCTGCATTCTTGCATCCTCTGTCTTGAATGGTAATTGTTGCCTTGTTCTGTGGTCCCCCACGAGATAGCAAACTGCTCCACATCAAAATTCAACAATTCATCATTCAACAAATATTTATTAAGCACTTCTTTTGTGCCAGGAGCTGTTCTAGATGCTGGAGATACATCAGAGAACCAAGCAAACAAAAATCCCTGCCCCCAGGGACCTTACATTCTACCTGGGGGGGGGAAGGGGTGGAGAAACAGACAGGAAACTATAAAAATTATAAAAATAAATAATTATATAGTATGTTAGAAGATACTTGCTCTGTGAGTTTTCATCACTTTGGAATTCATTCACATATCAGAATAAAAAAATACTCAAGTAATTTTTAAAAACTGTGTTCAATTCAGTTTGGATAGGGCAAAGTTCTGAGACTTTGGACTACCACCACGTTTTATGCTCCCAGGGCATGGGTCTTGAACCCAAGGATGAAGCAAGATGGAGCAGGTGCTAACCATCAGGCCTCCTCTAGAGCTACAGGAGGGCCTGGCCTGGGGCTCTATCTTCCCACCAGATGGTGGAAGGCTCTACTTGAAAGCTATCGCTGAGGAATCTGGGTCAGTTCTCCGCTTTGGCCACCAGGGGTCATTTTACCCCTGTAAATCACCATCTGGAGCAATTCCTTGAAGACACACAAAAGGCTTAGTCCAAAGTAAAACACATAGAGACACACACAGGGAAACCCTGACACTGTCTCTCTCTCTATCTCTCTCTCTCTCTCTCACACACACACACACACACACACATCATTGAGAGACCTAGCGACAGAAATGCATACAGGACACACGCATGGCAGCAACTTCCTCACTCACAAGATGCCAACTCTGCAGCCCCTCCCAGCCCTACTCCGGTAAAGAGGGAAGAAGGAAACAGTAGGTGGCCCTTTAACCAATCTTCCATTTCCTTGCCTCCAGCTTGCTAAGAACAGAGAGCCCATTCCTGTCTTCCCATTGCACTCTTATTTCCCTGGAAACTTCTTCCCTGGCTGTGGCAACAGTCCCCTTTTCCTTTCCCTGGGAAAGAGAAGCCCCACCCCTCCTCAGAGTGTTTGTGTGCCTAGTTCACCCCCACCTCAGAGCTGCAGCACCCGCACCAAGAAGCCCAAAGTAATGTTGCATTGGGTGTGCAGCTCCTACCTGCCCCTACACACCCTTAAGCCTTTGGGACTACAATTAGCAATTGATTTGTGGAGCATTGCCCTGTCCCCCCCAGTAATAAAAAACAATGTATACATATGCCCTGGGAAGAAGTTACACGTGAACTCTAATACTGACTCTTCGAGGATGTCCACAAGGTCAAAGTTATTTTCGGAATACTATTACTCCCACCATGTTGTTTGTCCTTTGCAATCTCCTCACTCACAGGTATACGGTGGAGTTTTCCAGAGGCTTCGTGAAGTATGATGACATTATTGCTCTCACAGCTAATGGAAGGTGTGCTTGTGTGTTTCTGTTGTTACAACTTACGAGTTTTAATTTCTAATATGGTTAAGTATCAAAAGAATAAAGTATAAGCAAAAACTCCTTGGAATCCTCAATTTTTAAGAGTTGTAAAAGGGTCTGAGAACAAAGTTTGAGAACTGCTACTTTAGTACAAAGAATTTTCTCCTTAATTCTAGATGAAGCGCCAGAGGCAGAGAGAGAGAATTTAGGACCTAGAATGGAGGAGGTCTCGGAAGTGGGGTGGGGTGGAAGGAGAAAAGACACCTAGAAAGGGCTACAGGGACCAGACTCTGGGGAGAAAACACCCTCTAACTCACATTTCTATCCTGCCCCCAACCACCCCATGCTGCGTGTCAGGTCTAAATTGTTACAAGTCACTAACCAAGAATGAAACCGATTCTGTCCGTATCCAGTAAACTCTTGTATCCTGCCTCCATGCTGGGCAGGGCAAGGCCAGGTGGAAATGAGAGTGGGTGGCACCGAAGGCACTAAGACTGCTGTGGTTGGTCTAAATCCAGGACACTCATTTTCTGCTCCATCTACCAGCTCTCCATAGTGTTTCATGCCCACACCAAGGGCATGTCATCCAGTCGTCTGCCTCTGCACTTGGGGAAGCTCACAGCATCACTCCCTCGGGACTGGGGAAGGGATCTGCCCCATGCTCACCATCACCACCAAAGTAAAGAAGGCATTTCCACCAGCACTCTTCCTTCCCTGTGCCCCTGGCTCCCCGCACTTGGTTCTCTCCTGCATTTATGGGCAGGAGTTGCCACCCAGAAGTCCAAGTGCCCAATTCACTTCCCTCATGTACACACCCTGTGAGTGTGCGCGTGTGAGCGGCGCGGGGCCGGGGGGGG